TATAGCCTTACCATTGTGAAAAAAATACCATGGTGAAAAAATCCATATAAACAAAAAGCCCCAAAATGCCTTAAAATGCAAGATTACATCCTAAAACATACTGCCAAGTGAATATTTTGTGTTTAAAATTGGAAAATATATTTTATATATTTCAAAAAAATCACCTAAAACATGCCTTACTACAGTCTTACCATCGTAGAATTTTTTTTTTTTTTTAACTATTTTATTTCATTTCATTTATTTTAAATTTTATTTATTTTATGGTCAGGAACTCTTTTTTTGAGAAGTTACCTCTACAAAGTGCTACTCAATTATCAACCGCGGCGGTTTTATTCTGATCATCCACATGAATGCAACACACCGACAGAAATAAAAACTCTAATCAAAATATACTTTATTCTGGGCTGTTTTTGTTTTTGTGTTTGTTTTGTTTGTCAGTTTGTTTGATTGTGTTTTACTGATCTGGAGTAAACCGTTACAGATCGCCGTCATGTAAGTGCACAAAAAAAACAAAACAACAACAACAACACGATAGAGATGCTATTAAGGAGGAATGAAACTGAGTCAACTGAGCAGGTGTGTGCTGAAACCATTATTGGGACATGAGGCCCAAGGGCAAACAGCACCAGAAAAGAAGAAGTTTCACCAAAAGATTCAAGCAAAACAAAAAGTAAGACTCTTCTTTTATTAAAACATAGACACATTTTTAGTGGTGATTTGCACCTGAGAAACTCTGCCCAGGCCAAAGGTGCCTTCAGAATGACAGTCGCGCTCAGTGAGCCTTTACATTACAGGGTCAACCTTTTCTTTACCATTTTCCATAGCATCAAAGTAACAAAACAACTGGTCAACATGTAAATTAACACTGCCAATAAATCAGTTCACATTTGTTTTTGTTTTTTTACATCTACAAAGAAATTACAAAAAACTTTCTTTTTAAATTTGCCTTTTTTAAAAAAGTATAAAATGTCGCGCCAGCGGTGAGACTCGGCCAGATGTGTAGTGAAGAAGGTCGGATGAAGGTAATAGAGAGCGTATGGACACGTATGTGACTCATTTCTATCAGGACAAAAAAATAAAAAATAAAACTTTGAAGGGGACAGAAGTTTAAGAAGTAATTGAAAACATAAAATCTGCTGGGACAGAAGTTTGAGAAGTAATTGAAAACATAAAATCTGCTCTGAAAACAAAAAAACTAGGACAATTTGTAATGTTCCAAACAAATCTTTGGTCAGAATATGTGTCCACATCATACATGGTTAACGATTTTTATTACTAACTCTGAACTTCACCTCTAATTTAGCCAAACGCTTTTGGGTCCAAATTTCATTCTCATTTCCTTTTATGCAAGACCAAAAGTGTGTTGGGTTAAATCAATGCAAAAATGTCAGTCAGGCTCACAATGACTTACGTAGAGTTTTGCCGATTGGAGGATTTACTTTGTGGGAGCCAACAGGGGGCAGCATTATCTGAAGCCTTTGAGGCTCAAGTCAAGACTGTGTTTCTACTTCTGCAAACTTGGTGGTGAAAAGAAAACATGATTCTATGAATCATCCATTTTGCATCACTTTCGCCCGTTACAATATATGGTCAAACAATCAAAGGTACAGAAAACCAACGGGGGTCTGAGGTAAAGATGCAATGCACGGCTTCACAGCCTAAAAACACTGGGTTTTATTCAGGGTTTCGTAAAGTGCGGCTGTAGAAGGTTTTCAGCTGGAGTCGTACTGTAACATACAATACCACGGGCAGCCGAGAGAAGAATTTTTTCCGTCATCCTTACAACTGGACGACGTTCTTGATTGACAACATTAGCCTACCCTGACTAAAAAAATGGAGTTAACAAAACGAGAGAGAAAAACACTCTGCTTCTGTTCTGCTGCTTTATTTGATGTGACTCGGGGTGTACTTAAAAAAAACCCAAGAAAATACAGGAGTAACCAAATATAAGAATATAAGGAGCAGATTAAAAAAAAAAAACGTTACCAAATTTCACCAAAAAAAGACAAAAGAAAAGATTTTATAAAATTGGCCAAAATTTAAGTTTAAATCTCAGAGACCAAACATTTTACCAAAAAAAGACAAAAGAAAACATTTTATAAAATTGGCCAAAACTTAAGTTTAAATCTCAGAGACCAAACATATCTGCTCCAGGCAGGGTTTTGTTTTGCGAAGCCGGTCGTGACCATATAAAGCTCGAACTTCCTCCGAAGATTCAGAAGACTCCAGGGAGAGATTATTACTTTAATGTTTTAACCTAACGACAAACTGCTGTGGTCAAATCCAGTGAAGTGAATTGTGGGTAAAAAAAACCAGACGAAACACAAAACTGAGACATGTTTTAAAGCATTTTTTTTTGTGTGTGTGTGTGTCACTTGTGAGAGCCCAGAGTTTAGACATGAGATACTGCAGTATGACCCTGTTGCAACAGCCAGCAAAGAAAAAAAAAACAACGTAAAGACGCGCTGATTTCTGTTTCTGTGTTTGTTCGCCATAAAACTCCAATCTCTTGACTGCAACAAAAAAAATAACACAAAATAAACATTGCAACACAGAAACATAAGCTCTAAAGTTCAGAAAATAAAAACTAAGTGCCATCCTGTTTCATGTTTGGAGATGTTGATATGTCTGATCAATCAGATCCAAGCTAGTATCAAAGACCAAGAGCGTTTCTCTTTTTCTTTTCCATTTTGATGACGTGATGAAGTGTTTTAGGATCCAAAAAAAAAAGCAACGTAGCTTTCAATTGTTGGTAAGTACACGGATTTTGAATTCCTTTTGTTTTGTTGTTGTCGTTGTTGTTGTTGGTTTCCTTTTCGATGTCTCTTGAAGTCGCCGCGCTGCTGCTCTACAAAGAGTCCAAACAGATGAGAGCGGTTGCATCATTCCTCCTGCTCTCTACGTCCTTCCTTCCGTGGGACCTGCTGCCTCCTGGAGCCGCGCGCTTCCTGTTTCCCTTTTCCTGCTCTCTGTCTGACTCGTCTGTGTGTGTTTGCGCGTGTGTGTTGGGGGAGGAGGGGCCAAAGTTGTAAGTAGTGAGCAGTACGCAGGGGCCGGCAGGGACAGTCGTTTGGCTATGTACACATTCAGGGTCGGTCCATGGCTTCCAAACAAGCAGCGGCGCTATTTCCGCAGGTCTAGTACACACACCTGAGGAGAAACAACGGCACGAAGACGGAGTGAACACGAGGAAAAACCCACGGATGTTTTCTCGCGTGCGCTGCTTTATTCCCGCATCCAAGTATTGATCTTTACAACGCAAAGCACAGTAGCGACGAGCGCAGTCCTGACAAACTCTACGAGTGTGCTTTTCGCCCCCCTCTTGGGTCTTTCTCAGATATAATGAAATATGTCCAGACCGAAGACATAAGTTTTAACATTTTAACGCAACGCCGGATATGCATTACAGATATCTCTAACTCCGTTTTTGCCTAGTGAAAACGAACATTTCGGATATCCGACGAGACTTCCTGTTTCGGCCGTACGCATACATATACAAAGATTGTGTAGTGAGACTTACAGATCCATCTGACGCGCTGGCTCCAACTTTGTCTCCCGCTGCGTTCCAGCAAACCTCGAAGATTCCCCCTGTCCCTCTGTAGCTGTGGACTAACGCACCTGTCTGCAAAGGTGAACAACACGTGGTTATTTGAGAATCTACCGGAAACAATCCCAGAAAAGCAAGGGTTGAGTGTGCGTTGAGTGTTCCGTAAATACCTGCGTGTTCCAAATGTGCACACATTTGTCGAACGAGCCACTGGCCAGATGCCGACCGTCGGGGCTGAAGGCCACGCTGTAGACAGGCTCCTGGTGTTTAGTCAGCGTGTGAATACAGATGCCCCGCTCTACGTCCCAGAGGCGGACTGTGGAGTCAAACGAAGCACTGTGGAAGTTCAAGATGAAACGTGACTTTACTGCTCAACGTGGTTTGTGGGGTGTGTTTTTTTTTTTTTTTTTGGTTTGGTTCAGGCCTGGATGTATCAGTGGTCTGGTGTCGGACGAGCAGCACAATTGTCAAGAATGACAAAAAAAAAAAAAAAAGCCAATTCTCGCAAGTCTCTTTTGTCACTTGTCATCAATTGCAGTAGTGAGAGTGTGTTACACCGCACGTTCGGTGTTGCCAGATACCAAATAGTGACATTTCATACCAAAAAATTCACATGCTCGTGACATACCGTAGCTAGGGCCAAACTGCATCACTAATACAATATCAAAGACACTAAAGCAAAACTCTAAATCTGAGGTTTCCAAAACTTTGATCCGGATGTTTTCTCGCGTGCGCTGCTTTATTCCCGCATCCAAGTATTGATCTTTACAACGCAAAGCACAGTAGCGACGAGCGCAGTCCTGACAAACTCTACGAGTGTGCTTTTCGCCCCCCTCTTGGGTCTTTCTCAGATATAATGAAATATGTCCAGACCGAAGACATAAGTTTTAACATTTTAACGCAACGCCGGATATGCATTACAGATATCTCTAACTCCGTTTTTGCCTAGTGAAAACGAACATTTCGGATATCCGACGAGACTTCCTGTTTCGGCCGTACGCATACATATACAAAGATTGTGTAGTGAGACTTACAGATCCATCTGACGCGCTGGCTCCAACTTTGTCTCCCGCTGCGTTCCAGCAAACCTCGAAGATTCCCCCTGTCCCTCTGTAGCTGTGGACTAACGCACCTGTCTGCAAAGGTGAACAACACGTGGTTATTTGAGAATCTACCGGAAACAATCCCAGAAAAGCAAGGGTTGAGTGTGCGTTGAGTGTTCCGTAAATACCTGCGTGTTCCAAATGTGCACACATTTGTCGAACGAGCCACTGGCCAGATGCCGACCGTCGGGGCTGAAGGCCACGCTGTAGACAGGCTCCTGGTGTTTAGTCAGCGTGTGAATACAGATGCCCCGCTCTACGTCCCAGAGGCGGACTGTGGAGTCAAACGAAGCACTGTGGAAGTTCAAGATGAAACGTGACTTTACTGCTCAACGTGGTTTGTGGGGTGTGTTTTTTTTTTTTTTTTCTGGTTTGGTTCAAGCCTGGATGTATCAGTGGTCTGGTGTCGGACGAGCAGCACAATTGTCAAGAATGCCAAAAAAAAAAAAAAAAAGCCAATTCTCGCAAGTCTCTTTTGTCACTTGTCATCAATTGCAGTAGTGAGAGTGTGTTACACCGCACGTTCGGTGTTGCCAGATACCAAATAGTGACATTTCATACCAAAAAATTCACATGCTCGTGACATACCGTAGCTAGGGCCAAACTGCATCACTAATACAATATCAAAGACACTAAAGCAAAACTCTAAATCTGAGGTTTCCAAAACTTTGATCAATGAGGGCCTGACCTTCTTTGAAATGCTAACATTATTACAAATTAAACTTATTACTACTAAACTATTTTATGGAAATTAAATTGCAAACTGCACATTTTTTTTGTATTTCATCAACTTGGTTTTAAACATTAAAATACATTAAAATATTATTGGTACACAACTGCTACTGTCTCTTGACACTGATTTTTTTTTTTTTTATAAACAGCCTCTTGGTCAATCCAGTGAACACAGCTGTTCCACATTTCAGAGACAAAATACATACAGTTGCTGATACAGTTGTCATTTCAAAAACTGACCAGAAGGGGTCAGGGTTACACAGTGAACGCAAAGGGAGGCTACTCATCTTTTAGTGAAACATAAATGCTTTTTTTTTTTTTACAAGATCAATTTTATGACTGTGGGCCATATAAAATTTGCCTGTGAGCTACATTTGGCCCTCATGTCTTACTTTTGGACTAAATACATTTTAAGACTGTGGGCCATATAAAATTTGCCTATGAGCCACATTTGGCCCTCATGTCTTACTTTTGGACACGCCTGCTTAAATAGTCCTTTCCGGAAAAATTCACTCAGCGTGATTTAAACTGTGCGTGACGATCTGCTACATGGAGTGTCGATTGGATTTAAAGAGGCATATGAGACCACCAGTGTAACAATATGCTGCTATGGTAAATAATACGCTTCCCCAAGCAATTGATTGATAATATTATACATTATTATTGTTATTTTTAAGAATTCAGTCACTGAAACAGTTCTGTTTCTCATTAAAATCTGCATTTCTATAAAAAAAAAGAAATCTGTGTGATTTGGAATATATATAGCTTCTATGGTTCATACATATATTTCTGTAAGATATGGATTATTAGACTGATAAATACACTGTTGATGAATAGTAAGTAAGTAGTAAAGTAGTTAACTGGAGCCGTTACTCCCTTAGCATTTCATTGTTTATGTTGTAAAGCAGGGATCACCAACGATATTTGAGGGCCAGAATTTTTTTTGGCATAGAAAATGAAATACAAATGACATGGCCTGATTGGTCGGTTCTTGAGGCCGAATCTGGTTTGGGGGCTGCCAGTTTATAATCCAATATTGTAAAATGAATTACCAGTATAGACACAAACCTGGCTAGCATGAGGTTAGCACTGGGGTTGTTGGTTCCTGGCCCTGTAGGACTCCATTTAATGGTGTAGATTTCTTTACTGTGGGCCTGAAGATCGTGGACACAGGAGTCCTGCTTCATACTCCAGATCTAAAGAAAAGACAAACATAGAAAAGCCTTAATGTCTTCATCAAGTTTCAGTATCAGATGGATGGATGGATGGATGGATGGATGGATGGATGAATGGCCTCACGTATCTACTTTAAACATCCTGATGACTTTTTTTTAAAAGTCCAGGATATGACCACACAACTAGTATTTAAACACACAGTAATAAAAGCAAGAAATACTGTCACCCTCGTTTCCTTCTCACCTTTAACGTCATGTCGTCCGAGCAGGAGGCTAGCAGGTTCCCTGTGGGATCCCACTTGATTGCATTTACTTCGTTCTGCAGAGGGAAAACGCGGTGAGAAAAGGTCGGGGCGTGTCAGACTTGTCATTCAGCTAGTTTGAAATTTTCATCCAGCAAACATTGTAAAAGGTATTTCATTTGAACAACTTATTGGCACGTACCGTGTGTCCCTGGAATGTCTTAATGGGTCTATCTTGACCAAGCTTACAAACGTGGATACACATGTCTGTACTGCAGGAAGCAAAGGTGTTGTTGCTTTGCCAATCCACATCTAGAGCCGGAGCTGTGAAGCAGAGAAAAAGATGGAACAAACGAAATGAGATCTAATTAAAAAAAAAGTCCCTTGAATTGAATGTAGTTATTGTGGTACCTGAATGGAAGGGGAACTGTTGTTTGGCTTCCCCCGTGTGGGCGTCCCAAATGATTGTTGTCTGTGGGAGGACGCAGAAATGCAAACATGCAGCATGCCATATTACAAAGGAACAGAACCACGAGACTAATGTGTTCGTACGAATCACAGCTTTACCTTATCTACTCCTGCACTGAGAATGAAGTTGCCCTTTTTATTCCACTTCAGGGCAAAGATGGGACCTTTATGTTGGCCTAGTGTACTGGCCAGGTTTCCTACATTAAAGAGCCGCCGACAGAACAACTGGTCATATATAAATATATAGACACACCTATCTATAAATCTATAAATAAAATCAAACTTTCAAATCAAATCAAAACATTTTTATGTCATATTACATATGTATACATTTATACAAATACAACATATATATAGTATATGTATACATTTACATATATATGTATATACATATATATGTAAATGTATACATATACTATATATATGTTGTATTTGTATAAATGTATACATATGTAATATGACATAAAAATGTTTTGATTTGATTTGAAAGTTTGATTTTATTTATAGATTTATAGATAGGTGTGTCTATATATTTATATATGACCAGTTGTTCTGTCGGCGGCTCTTTAATGTAGGAAACCTGGCCAGTACACTAGGCCAACTGAAAAAAGGACAGAAAATTGCAGAAACGGGATCTAAGGTAAATCTAATCCATTTCTTGTATGCCAACATGCAACCAGGTGGCATATATACATGTATATACATATATATGTATATATATATACATATATGCATACGTCCGTACATATATGCATATATATGTATATGCATATATACATATATATGCATATATATGTGTGTGTGTGTAAATGTTTACATATATATTCCAATATATATACAATGGCATGAAAAAAGGACAGAAAATTGCAAAAACGGGATCTAAGGTAAATCTAATCCATTTCTTGTATGCCAACATGCAACCAGGTGGCATATATATATGTATATACATATATATGTATATATATATACATATATGCATACGTCCGTACATATATGCATATATATGTATATGCATATATACATATATATGCATGTATATATATATGTGTGTGTGTGTAAATGTTTACATATATATTCCAATATATATACAATGGCATGAAAAAAGGACAGAAAATTGCAGAAACGGGATCTAACCTAAATCTAATCCATTTCTTGTATGCCAACATGCAACCAGGTGGCAGCATTGTCACATATACTGTATGTTCAAAGGAACCACACAATCCTCAAAACACTGGGCATATCGAAAACAATAAAAAAAATTTTTTAGAAAACATATCTACAATATGTGTTATATATGCTACTTCTTTACTATTAACATTACAAGTTTCTTTCTCACCATCTTTTGTCCATATTCTGGCAAATCCATCATAGGAGCCTGTTGCCAGCAATGTGCCTTCACTCTGTCAAAGGTAGAAAAATGTGAGTATGACACAAAAGACACAGAAACAGGTTGGCCACAAATTTTACAAAATAGCAGAAAAACATATTAAACAACTACCTAAAAACAACATATTGAAATATTTCTAATTCCTCACCTGCTGATATATTTACCTCTACTACAGAGGTTGAACTCTTGTTTAAATTGTTCGTGACACTTAATCTGACTTGTACATTTGGGTCGACTGAGCTAAAAACGTTTTGGGTTATAAATGACTTGTTATGTCACTGTGGAGGGATCAATTCCTGGTTGTTTCTTTAAATATTCAATCACGACGCGCTGTACGTGCACGTCCTTACATTCCAGTCGAGCGAGGTGACATCTTTGTTACTGGGGACATCCTGTCCTCCCTCTCGTATGCAATGCCTCAGAACAAGCTGCGTGGAGCTGCTTGTGCTGTTTTCACTCAGGTTCCATATGCGAGCTGTTGAATCGCCAGATCTGAAACAATTACAGAAACACGGGAAGAGTGAAAATTGTTTTCGCTGAACTCTTCTCTCCGACGCCGTGGTGGTTGCTGACTCACCCTGATGCCAGAAGGTCGCTGACTGGGTTCCAGGCACAGATGAAGACCTCTGACTCATGGCCTCGCAGGACCATGGCCTTGTTCTGGGGGATCTCCACATCTCCGTCCACCTCCATCAGGTCTGCGTGGTTATCTGAACACAGACATGAATGAGCTTGACTGACACAATCCCATGATCTGCCATAGTGTCTGAGCTAATCCCTAAGATTATAAGGGCAGAACAGGTCAGTGATGTAGTGGGGAGCCGCACCTTCAATTGCCTTAAATGTAATTCGTTATAACTGGTCAGTTACATTTGACCTACATCTAGATGCAGCTTTAATTTTACCAGAAAGCGGTTGATTATCTCCCCTTTTGCCACTAGATGGCAGCATTGTAACGTATATTATTGATCTATATTGATAATCAGGGGATTGTATGCAGAATGCTGGTGCCAGCAACTCTTACAGTGGTTTGTACAGATATATAAATACATATTACCAGGCCTTACAATAGTAATTTCATTTTGTCCCCTAGGGGGCAGAAAATATTTAAGAAACACGCTGTTTAACTTCCACCACTGCCCCACTATATCGGTATCGGTTGATATCAAAATCTAAAAAATTATTTTGGACAATATCGGCATATCGGCAAAAAATTAATTTGGACAATATCGGCATATTGGAAAAAAGTTAGTATCGGAAATCCCTAGTTTTTTGTGTTTCTTCTTGCTGCAAATGGAGTGGCGTCAAAAGACCCGTGTCTGTTTGCTACAAATCTCACATCGTTTATGTCAAGCAACACACTATAAAAAGGTACACATGGTCTGATGTTACTCACTTGCTAAGGCATGGGCTCCGTTCTCCTCCCCGTTGGCAGTATTCTCCCCATTCTTAGCATTGCCAGCAATGCAGCCTCCGGTGGCCGAGGCTGGTGCTGAAGCGGCAGCTTGCTGCTGGGCCATTTTATCCCGGTAAGCCTGCTGCCTTGTTTGAACTACATCTGGCATGACCGCATCAATCAAGGACAGGGACTCAATGGGTCGCCCATCGAATAACGTCCCGTCCTGGGTTCACAGGAGAAACAAGTGCTCAGAGGAAAGATGAACGTGAGCAGGACAAAACAAAAAAAAAAAAAAACAGAGAGTTTATTGCTACGAGTAAGTGTATATCTCACCTCATTGATGCTGACTTCTGCCTCAACATACTGCAGTCCCTTCTGGATGATGCTGATCAGGGCAGCAGGGGGAACCAGAGCACCATTAATGTTGGATTGGCTAATGTGACTCTCTATACCAAAAGTGAATGCTGAGTGGGAAAACCCTAGAGAATAGTGAGATCATGAGCAGGGTTGGTTACAACTAATTGTTGATATTGATTCTAATACATCACAATACCACATCAGAAGTATAATATTACCTCTTATTTTAGATTTTTATTAATATTTATTATACAAAAAAAAATACACCAAGAATTTGTTTTGTCTAAAGGTGACTTTTAGCCAGGATTCTGAACTTGGTTTCACAATAAATAAAGCAAAGAATGTTACGTAATAGAGGCAGATAACGTGCTGTGAACAGTCAAAAAGGAATTCAATAAATGAGAGACATCTCTTATATTTTCAGATTCTTTTTTTCTATTAAATGGCATTAAGCACGGTTTTGTCATCAACCCCATAACTTCGTATAAACAAGCATGCTAACAGGAGAAAAAACGATGGTCAAATCATGACACGACAGCAATATAACAGTACATCCATATTACTGATACAAAGTGCATGTGATACCTGACTCTTGTAGGTATCTGTAGACCAGGAAGTTGACCTCATCACTGCTAATGCTCATCTTTAGTCCTGTTACACCATGAGGTCAGCAGACACACACCTAGCCTGCAAAACAGAGGGGAGCAAAAAAAAAAGAGAAAGTACATTAATACAAAGAAAACAAAATAGGAGACTTTTTTTTAAAAAGTGTGTAAATCAAGTAAAGATATGAGTTAGAGAAGGACATAAACAGAAACTCACTGTGAAAGTGTTATAAAATTAAGATTTGATGCAATATCTGGTTTTCTTTTCTCATTGCGCTAATTAGCTACGTAGTCAACTACATGTAGAGAAAAGAAATGCGACATCCTGTTCTGAGCACAAAATGTTTCTTGTTACACAGATATTAAATGTCACCTAAGAAATGCAGTATTGAAACATTTAATTTTATAAAATATTTCTGTTTATTAAGCAACCTTTTATATATTTCAATTCATTTAGGACACCATTAGCCAGCAACATATGAGGTCCCTAAGAATAATCCAAACAAAAAAAACCAAAAAAAAAAAAAAACAATGACAGTGTTATGAGCAATATTAGCATCACAAACATGGCTGCTGTTCAAATACATGCATGTCATAAAAACTACGTTAACTGTTAGCCACCTCCCTCCATCAATCAATATTGCCACTCCGTACTTTTTCCTTTCCTGTACGATGAAAATAAAGTATTCCTGAAATCCATTTTCTGACTTTTCCATGTTCAATATCTGAAAACTGTCTCCTGCCAAATGCCACGTTTCTCTTCTCCCTTTTTATTTTAACTTGTCACTTTGCTTCTTTTGATCGGGTTATTCAGTCCATTCATTCATGGACAGTATGTTATAGTGTTGGTAATTCGTCAGTTTTGTGAAACATTCCTCTTGTAACACCCTGGACAAGTGGTAGAAAACGAAACAATATAGAACAGAAGAACACAAGAAAATGTACTGTAAAACAGTGAACTGAACTTCCACAAAGTGGGGCCTTCAGAAGTGAAAAAAAAATAAAATAAAAAAAAGGACCTCCCCACCAGATCGAACACTTTTTCCTGCAATGCCCGCTGTTTAGTAGGCAGCTGGGTGAGGGCATCTTTGTCCCATCTTTCCACATTGATCATGTTTTCCTCCATCTGTCCCACACATTTCAGTTCTGTCCCTTCATTTTGGCCTGTCATGTCTTGTAATTTTCGGGTTTGCTTCTGTTGCCAATTCTTCCGTTTGTTTTTTTTTTGACGTCCTCCCTGAAGCACGCGCGAGAAATCTTTTTTTTAAATTTAGCCCCGAAGCGCTGCCATCCCCGCACTCATAACTTCTCTCATCACCGTGCATAATGAATCCAGAGTTTCCATCTCTCTGCGGCTTCCATCTTGTCTTGAGGATTCACCAGCTTCAGCTTCCCTCTCGGTTTCTCTTTCAGAGTTACTGCGTAGCCCTTTATCCCCCGTTCATCATCAAAGCGAAGTGTATTTGCTTCTATTTGTGTAGTCACAAAGAGTAAAGACAATTGAATTTAAGGCTGATACCGGAGCTCAGTAACTATGCTGCCATGCCGTGTTGCCCGTCACCCTGAAGCCCATAAAATGTTTTCTTAATTATTTTTATTTTACATTATCGATTTTTTTTATATCTATTTTTGACGGGGGGATTAATAGTAAATTTCTTGGAGCTGGAACAATCTATTTTTGATGTTTAGACGAGGGGGTTAATAGTAAATTTCTTGGAGCTGGAACGAATTAATTGCTTTTTAGTTATTTTTAATGGGTTAGGGTTACGAAGATTCCAGACACGAGTCGCTGTCGTTGAATGGATTAAACTTGTATCTCAGGGGTCCACTGTGTAATAAATATGTTAAAAATTGAAGTAGAAAAAGTGTTCCACAAACTCGCAATTACAGGGAGTGGTTTAAAACATATTCCACGAAAACTGCCTTGATTTCTTACTGATGTCTACCAGGTTGTAAAGATGACTTTACTGTAATTTTACTGGTTGGAGCTGAAGCTAAACATGAACATAAAAGCCTATTTGCTCTTACAAAAGTTAGCTCCAAGCTTACTGTGTCTGCAGTCATCATTCCCAACCATTCTCAATTAATGACCAACTGTTTATTTTTTGTGTTTTTCTGGGATACCTTATACCAGTTGTTGAAGAAAAAAAATTCTTTTTTTTTTACAACAGTTTGATTGTCTCAACCCTTTTGTTATTGTTGTTTTTGACTCTACAAGTCTACAGGACAGTGGTGGCTCATGCTGATCCAGGGGCCTGATTCTATTTTCGCTCCAAATTGCTTAGAGGCGATCAGTCGGTGTGTGTTTTTCCCTCATTCGTGTCTAATTACCTGTATGGGTAGTTTACTGAAGTAAGTCAACAATGTCAGCAGTTTGCCAGTATTACAACAATCGAGGGCACATACAGAAGGCGAGGCAAGTTTGACTTGCTCATTTAACGTACAAGCGATTTAATAAAAGACTAAAAGACAAGACGTAACTCTAAATGAGCTAATGTCTTTTCTCAGCAAAGCAGCACTGAGGACGGAGGAAGTGTCCATACCTCATCGAGTCAGTGTGTTAATTTGTTCCACTGTAATATGAAAAATAGTGCTATAGTTTAAATGACACAATGCTTATTGGAGAGAACAGAATAATTTGTATTTTTTGTGTGTGAAGATTGTGCCACTATTTACGTAATAAGTCTGGATTTTGTCAATTCAAAACCAACTTTACTCTCTAAATCAGGGGTCGGGAACCTTTTAAACAGAGAGAGCCAGAAACATCACATATTTTAAAAATGTATTATCGTGAGAGCCAACTAAATGGGTGAAATATGAAAAATTACCAATAACGTTTAGAGTATAATTAGTCTCTGTTTTTGTTTTTTTATAACGTTATATTGAAGCTAGACAATACATATATTAATACATACATACATACTTCTACCATTAACGCGACTTCTCCTGCTGCATGGATTTGATGCGATTGGCTCCAGCGCAAAAAAAAAAAAATAATGTATGGATTAAAATGTGTAACCAAGTAATAAATATATTGCCGTACAAAACAGTTTATTACACACCACGAAAGAAAAATCCTAATATATCATACAGTCTTTAATACATCGTCCGTGCAGATTAGTCGTGAATCCTGTGGAGCAGCAGTCATCATTAATTTATTTTATTTTTATCCTTAACTGTACTTTTATTTATTTTATATTTTCAGCCTGAGGTTGCTACAAAATGGACTGACTTTGGTTTTACTATTAATGCCAGAAATAAAAGATTTTTTTTAGCACTATTATTTCTGTAACGTTTAACGTTGAATACCAGCAGAATTATTTATCACTTATTGTGTTAAGGAATTCATGCTTTTCCCCAGGAGTCCCAGATCGCCTAAGCAAGTCCAGCACTTCCTCAAATAGTCTTTTTGAGTTCCGCACTTTAAAGTGTATATTGTGATAGATGATAGCATTTTGGCCTTTCCAGCTCGACCTCACTCCTACTTGAGAGTGAAATCTGCTATAGGCGACTTGCACCTTTCAGCCAGGCAGAGGGTTGAGTAGCACTACTGAATCAGATGAGGTGACAGATGGGGTGCTAGTACATTGCAAACAAACTGTCATAACACATTGGTAAACCAGGAACTCTTTGTGAGTATGGGTCAATATCCTATTACTATGCATATATGCAAAAAAAAACAAAACATTATTATTATATATCAGGATATACATCAATACAAATCTGTCACAATTACACTTTATGTTAAATAAAACAACACAGCCTCGAAAAACACCCTTTAAACTACAAAGCTCCTGCTGGATCAATGAATCTGGTCTATTTGGACTTTTAGACTTTATCTAAAAAAAAAATAATCACTGGGTTTCACATAGATCTAACTGACCCGTCTTACTGGAAGGGGGTTTGCATGCTGTTATGTATATATTACTTTTCTATTATTATTCTATACAGACACTTTCTGTTTTGTCTCAGCATTGTTTAAACTGAAAAACGTATATTTGCAAGAGAGGCAGTCTGAGGTCTAAGTTGGAATGTGGTCTACGTAGCAGATGTCTACAAAAGGCCACAACCAGGTGACTTTCTGCCTTCTACCATCACTCAAGTCATTACCGCAGACTGCAATGAGCTATAGCCTGATGACAGAAAAACAACCAAGTTGCACTGGTGCAATGCAAAAGGCCTATTTAGACAGGGCTCCTAATGCAATGGTAAAGCAAGTTATCAGGTAGGTGCTGCTAGAACACAGATGTCAGAGAGGAACTTAGCAGATGGGACATGTAGGTCATACTTGAGCAAGAGTGAAATGTGTGAAATCTATGTATTTGTCATAATTTACGACACATGTTGCGACAGGAACGATGAGGTGGGAGATCTTATCGTCCACATTCAGCACCACGAGTTGCAGGGACTTCACAGGAAGTCTGCTGGCAGCTGAAATTGTCAAAAACAGGAAGCAAGTTCAAAAGTTCTCCCACGGAAAATGAAGAAAATCATTAACGTATGCCAGGCATGAAATATGCTAGTTAGTGAGGCCGGTGTACTACGAAGTTGAAAAGACGATTTGAGGAAGTTGAGGTTAAAGGTGATGAGTAGAAGTGTAGCAACTACTGAGGTGTACCGTTGTTCTGTTTTTAGATGTTAAAGAGTTGTACAAGACCTAATGTTAATAATCTTTATAAACTAAAGCTTGTGTTCAATTATGACAAAACAAAACAAGTTTTACGAAAAATAAAAAAACAATGGAAGATTTTTTCAAATATTTTACCTTATAAAATATAATTTGATTGAATGGGAATCTGTCGACAAACTGTCAATGTTACTTCTTCTACACTTCACATTCTGGCAGACCTGCCAACCGTGGCAAACTGTTTTCAGTACCATTTGTGTCGTACGGCTTTGTTGCAACTACACATTATACAATATACACTATATTACCAAAAGTATTGGCTCACCTGCCTTGACTCCTACTATGAACTGAAGTGCC